TCCTCTTCCTTCCCCTCCACCACCTCCAACTCCACCTCCCCACCCCTGCTCCACCACTTCCCCCTCCACCTGCACCTCCCTCCTCTTACTCCCCTCCCCTCCTCTCCTCCCCATCCTCCACCTGCACCTCCCCTCCCACACCCCCTCCAATAATCTGGGCCTAACGGAAGTTCATGTGGTCTACCTTCACCATCACCCCCACCCCACCACCGTCACCTCTACCTTCACCATCACCACCACTTCCTCCTCCCCCCCTACTCTCACCTACCTCCCCCGTTAGATAAAGTGTTAGAATTAAATAACAAAGAAAAGAAAAAAATAAAAAAAAGTCTGAATTTAACCTGCAACAAACCTAGTCCTAAGGAAAGCTCCTTGTGTTGCAGTGGCTCTTCCCCCTCTCCCTCCCCACCACCACCATCTCCACCACTTCCCCTTCACCACTTACCTCCTCCCCTCCCCCTTCCTTCTCCTTTCCCCTCCCTTACCTCCCAACTCCTCCTCCTCCCCTCCCCCTTCCTACCTTCCACCTCTCCCCCCTTTCCCTCCTCCTCCTTTCCACTTCTCCCTCTCCCTTCCCTCCTCCTTTCCTTTCACCACCTCCTTCCCCTCCTCCCTCCCCATACCTCCTCCACCTCCTACTCTCCCCCTTCCCATACCTCCACCACCTCTACCTCCACCTTCTCCACCTCCCTCCCACCTCCCCTTCCAACCTCCCACCTCCACCTCCTCCCACCACCAAACCTAAGCCTAAAGGAAGCTCCCCTCTTGCAGTTCCTCAGCACTACGAAGGGAGCTCGGCGGTCAACAGAAGACATCTGGCCCGGCGTCTTCTACGAGTCCAGAGACAGATCGATAGTCATGCGGGTAAGTATGGACCCGAGATTTGCTTTTCTTGCGGTTGTTGTTGTTTTTGTTGTTGTTGTTGTTGTGGTGGGGGGGATGGGGGTGGGGGTGGTGGTTTTTGTTGTTGTTGTATGTGTGTGTGTGTCTGTCTTTCTCTATCCGTCTGTTTATTTATCTGATGTACATGATCTGCCTAATCTATATAACCTATACTGTAATTTCTAATGATATGGATCCTCCTCTTCCAGTCTCCTCTCTTATATTTCTCTCCTCTCCTCTCCCCTCTTAATTCAGTGTCCCTCTCTTTCTCCTCATTTTCCAGTTCTCCCCCTCTCTCTCTCTCTCTCTCTTCTCTCTCTCTCTCTCTCTCTCACACCACACACACACCACACACACACACACACACACCACACACACACACACACACACACACGCACGCACGCACGACACAACACACACACATTCATTCATTCATTCACACGCATACACGAACAGGCACCCCCCCCACACACACACACACTGACATACATGTGCACCAACACGTATGCACGCAGTCGGCGCTTTTTCGTTTATGTTGGAGGTTCCTGTGAGTTATTTAGATATGGTTCCATTGACGTAAAGATACACTGGGAGGGAGAGGAAGAGGAGGAGGGAGAGGAGAGGGAGAGGGAGAGGGGGAGGGGAGGGAAGGAGAGGGGGGAGGGGGAGGGGAAGGGGGGGGAAGAGGGGGAGGGAGGAGGGAAGGAAAGGGAGAGGTAAAGGGAAAGGGAAAGGGATCGGGGGAGGGGGATGGAGAAGGAAAGGGAGAAGGAGAGGGAGAGGGAAAAGGTAAAGGAAAGGGAGCGGACAAGGGAAAGGGAAAGGGAGAGAGGGTGGGTGTAGACGGCCCCAGTTTTTCGTGATTACGTGATCAGATATCATGCAGTCTCGTGTCCTCTGATTGGTCGGCGCTAGTCCAATCCGAATGCTTGTCGTGTCCGATGCCTGATTGCCGTGCATGACAAAAGCAACAATGAACAAGAGATATATGGCGTTCATTTCATTCTGCTTTGATAAAATGTTTAGCTAGGGTCAAGAAACTACGTAGTGCATCCGAACGTGAACCAGGCACGCGAATACACTGCATTTTCACATCTACATGCATTCTATTTTTACTCTTTTTATAGATGGAGAACGTAAATATATATATATATATATGTGTGTGTGTGTGTGTGTGTGTGTGTGTGTGTGTGTGTGTGTGTGTGTGTGTGTGTGTGTGTGTGTGTGTGTGTGTGTTACTAACGGTGGTTTCAGCGTAAACAAAACCTTTGTTCCACTTGTAATATAATTAAGTAATGGCACTAGTGGAGGTTTGCAACTTTCGTGACGCCAGGACAAACTCACCGCGAGGAGGCTAACCTTCCCCTCCTGTAATAATCTTTGACACGCGAATATGCCATGCGTTATGCGTATCCGCTTGCGCTCACATACGTGTGTGTGGAGTGTCTTTGAAAGTGTTTATTGCACACACACAAATTAAGAGAAAGAGTGCAGAGAGAGAGAGAGAGTGCAGAGAGAGAGAGAGAGTGAGAGAGAGAGAGAGAGAGAGAGAGTGAGAGAGAGAGAGAGTGCAGAGAGAGAGAGAGAGAGGAGAGAGAGTGCAGAGAGAGAGAGAGAGAGAGAGAGTGGAGAGAGAGAGAGAGAGAGAGAGAGTGCAGAGAGAGAGAGAGAGAGAGAGAGAGAGAGAGAGAGTGAGAGAGAAGAGAGAGAAGAGAGAGAGAGAGAGAGAGAGGAGAGAGGAGAGGAGGAGAGAGAGAGAGTGCAGAGAGAGAGAGAGAGAGAGAGAGAGCAGAGGAGAGAGAGAGAGTGCAGAGAGAAGAGAGAGAGAGAGGGAGAGAGAGAGAGAGAGAGAGAGTGCAGAGAGAGAGAGTGCAGAGAGAGAGAGTGCAGAGAGAGAGAGAGAGAGAGAGAGAGAGAGAGAGATATTGACTGGCCAGCATTGCGTGCTAATTTACCCCGCCTATATTTCTTGCGGTTCAGACAGCTTGACCAAAGTGATCCATATCCCCTCCTCTATATTCATATCTACTGATGTCTGCGTACGGTTGCAAATTGTGAATCGCGATTGATTACTGAAGGTTAAATGAGTTTTATGAGTGAGTAGTGTCTTTTTTTTAATGAATTTTTTTTTTTTTTTTTAATTGAAAGTAAGGAAATATCTTTTTTTTTGCGGATATTTAGTTTTGTTGATGTATACTTTTCTGAAGATGAATACTAATTCAGTCATAAAGTTCCGATCCTCATTTTAAGGATTCGTCTCCACTCACAGTCTAACGATTTTAGTTTTTTTTTCTATTTTTACCTCATTTATCGATTTACCCTTTTGGCATTCAGTGAGATTTATTCGTTCCGTTTGATCACTCTCATGCGCCGAAAACCGGATTCATACTGTCAGTCGCGCTGGACATTTGGCAAACCGACGGTGAACTGTGCTCAAGTTATATCTGTTTTTCTTACTTATTTTATATTTTTGTTTATTATTAGGTTTTTATCTTATTTTATTTGTTTATTTTTGCTTACGTTACACACAATTCTAACTTTTTTCATATTGATATCCGTTAGTTTTGTATATTATTTTTTTCTTACTTTTTCATATTTTTATTTAATTTATTATAGTCTTTGCTTACATTTTTGCTTACATTTCACACAATCATAATCTATTTTCATATTCATATCTGTTTGTTTTGTGTATTAGTTTCTCTTAGTTTTTCATATTTTTATAAATTATATTATTTATTATTATCTTATTTTATTTATTTGTTTATTTTTTTCGTAATTTTCTCACAATTATAACCTTTTTCATATTCATTTCTGTTAGTTTGGTATATTTGTTTTTCTTACATTTTATATTTTTGTTTATTATTTTATTATCTTCTTGTATTCATTATTATTTTTTCTTACATTTCACACAATCAAAACTTTTTCATATTCATTTCTGTTAGTTTTGTTTTGTTTTTCTTACATTTTATATTTTTGTTTATTATTTTATTGTTATCTTATTGTATTCATTATTATTATTTTTATTTATTATTATTATTATTTTTTTTTGCTTACATTTCACAATATCATAACCTTTTTTCATATTCATATCCATTAGTCTTGTCACTTCCTGGTTTCGTCTGTAAAATGAAACCCAAATATATTAAGAAATTTATTTAGAGGGTTTACTTCATAGGTCAGGAGAGCAGGGTGTGGAGAGAGGAAAGGAGGAGAGACGGGGAGAGAAGGAAGGAGGAAGAGGGAGAGGGAAAAGGATGAAAGGAGAGACGGGGAGAGAAGGAAGGAGGAAGAGGGAGAGGGAAAAGGATGAAAGGAGAGACGGGGAGAGAAGGAAGGAGGAAGAGGGAGAGGGAAAAGGATGAAAGGAGAGACGGGGAGACAGAGAAGGAAGAGGGAGAGGGAAAAGGATGAAAGGAGAGACGGGAGAGAAGGAAGGAGGAAGAGGGAGAGGGAAAAGGACGGGGAGAGAAGGACGGGGAGAGAAGGAAGGAGGAAGAGGGATGAAAGGAGAGAGAGAAGTGATGAAAGGAGAGAGGGTCGGAGTAAGAGGGGAAATGAAACGGTTGAGGGAGAAGGAGAGGGAGAGGAAAAGAGTGAAAGAGGGAGAGGCAGAGGGAGCAGAAAGGAGTGAAAGAGGAAGAGGGAAAGGGCGAGGGAGTGGGAGAGGTAGAAGTATAAGTAGAGGTAGAAAGAAAGAGAAAGGGAGAGAAAGAAAGCGAGAGAGAGAGAGGAAGAGAAAGAGGAGAAAGAGAGAAAGAAAAAAAGAAAAGAAAGGAAAGGAAAAAAAAGAAAGAATGAAAGAAAAAAAAGAGAGAGAGAGAGAGAGAGAGAGAGAGAGAGAGAGAGAGAGAGAGAGAGAGAGAGAGGAGAGAGAGAGAGAGAGAGAGAGAGAGAGAGAGAGAGAGAGAGAGAGAGGAGAGAGAGAGAGAGAGAGAGAGAGAAGAGAAAGAAAGAAAGAAAGAAAGAAAGAAAGAAAGAAAGAAAGAAAGAAAGAAAGAAAGAACTGAAGATTTAAGCGACAATGAATCATGAATAATAACCCTTCGTTGTGAGGTCGGCCTTTGATCGATTGATATAAAACCTTGCTTCGAATCACGCACATTTCCAGGTACGGGTCAGTCTGCTTTGAATATTTCGTTTTCACGGCCTAACTAACTATTACGTTTTCTTCTCCTTTATTTATTTTTTCTTTCTTTTTCTTTTGCTCTTGTTCTTTTAATTCTTTCATCTCCTTTTCTCTTTTTCTTCTTTCTTTTTTTTCTTTCTTCTTCTTCATCCTCTTCTTTCCTTTCTTCTTCTTCTTCTTCTTCTCTCTTCTTCTTCTTCATCATCTCATCATCATCATCATCATCATTATCATCATCATCATCATCATCTCATCTCTCATCTCTCTTTCTTCTTCTTCTTCTTTCTTCTTCTTCTTCTTCTTCTTCTTCTTCTTCTTCTTTCTTCTTCTTCTTCTTCTTTCTTCTTCTTCTTCTTCTTCTTCTTCTTCTTCTTCTTTCTTCTTCTTCTTCTTCTTCTTCTTCTTCTTTTCCTTCACGTCACCGATTTACACCAATGATCCCTAGGGTTATTGACCTGTACTCTTCAAATCAGCTGTTTAGGTTTATGAAATGATTTTACATAATAAATAATGGAGAGAGAAGAGAGGAGGGAAGAGGGATGAGAGGGAATAAAGATAGCATAAGGGGAAGTAGATAAGGAGGGGGGCGGGGGAGAGACGTGGAACGGAGGATGAGAAAATGAGGAAGAAGGAAGAAAACGGAAGGTGGTGGTGGTGGAGATGTAGAATAAAAAGAAGAAAAGGGATAGAGAAGAAGAAGAAGAAAAAGAAAGAGAAGAGAAGAAGAAGAAGAAGAAGAAGAAGAAGAAGAAGAAGAAGAAGAAGAAGAAGAAGAAGAAGAAGAAGAAGAAGAAGAAGAAGACGAAGAAATGATAAGAATAAGAACAATATACGGGAGGTGGTGGTGGTGGAGATGAAGATTTAGAAAAATTAAACAGAAGAGGAAGAAGATGAAGAAGAAAACGGGGGGGGAGAGAAGGAAGAGGAGGAGGAGGAGAGAGGAAGGAGGAGGAGGAGAGAGGAGAGGAGGAGGAGGAAGAGAAGGAGAGAGGAGAGGGAGGAGGAGGAGGAGGAGGAGAGAAGGAAGGAGGAGGAGAAGGAAGAGGAGGAGGAGGAGAAGGAGGAGGAAGGAAGGAGGAGGAAGGAAGGAGGAGGAAGAAGGAGGAGGAAGAGAAGGAAGAAGAGGAGGAAGGAAGTGAAGGAGAAAAAGGAGGAAAAGGAGGAGGAGAAAGGGGAAAGGAGGAGGAGGAGGAGGAGAGGAGGAGGAGGAGGAGAGGATCATCATCATCAGGATCATCATCATCATCATCATCATCATCATCATTCATCATCATCATATCATCATCATCATCATCATCATCATCATCATCATCATCATCATCATCATCATCATTATCATCATCATCATCATCATCATCAATGATCATCATCATCATCATCATCATCATCATCATCATCATCATTAAAAACAATACTATCATTGACATTATAATTATGTTATTACTACAATCATATCAATATATATGTGTATGTCTTTTATTAATTTTATTGATGCATTTTATTTTATGATATTTTATGTTTTTAGTACTTTGTTAATGATTATGATAACAAACATTGTTTTTACATGCTTATTACACATGATTCGAGAATCTTTTATAACATTTTTATACTAAAGCTGAATGCATAATAAGTACTGTTTGATATATTTATATTATATGACTTATCATTAAGGGCATTATTCAAAATTTAATAGCAATTTAATTTTTTCCTTTTCTATATGATATTTATATTTCTGTATTTGTTCCTGTATTTGATTGCAAGATTTCCTTCAGAGTTCTAAGTCTTCTCATATTTACAGGTATGCAAGGTAAAGTTGATGCTGCTTGGTCAAGAGAGCTGTTGGCTTTGGCGGAGGAGATCGACCCACGGGTATCATCTGAAGACGGGAATCTCCCAGTACAATTTGGCAAGCAGCAGCGGAACAGCAGGGAGATAACAGTCAGTGATAAAGCAGAGAATGACTCGCGACTTCCCATAGTCAACCCAAGGGTAGCAGTGTGCCCTGAGGTGTACTTGGGCAGAGAGGTTGATATGATGTACCAAAGAAATTTCAGAACTATTGAGTGCACAAATGCTTTGGCTTTTAAGGATTTAGTTACAGTTGTTCTCTCAACAAAAGGCTGGGAGGTAGAGAGGGTGAAATTTGTTGCTAGACAAATTCTGAAGTATTATGATGTAAATATATATATATTAATGTTTGGCATAAATGAGAGAATAGATGTTGATAATGCAAATATAAAATATTACTCATCAGAAGTGCTTGCATCAAAAGCCATAAACAGTGTTTTTTCCTACATCACTACGCCTTATATATTTCTCACAAGTACCCTAACTCACTTCTCAGAACAGTCTCCCCTAGACCGTCTTGTTAGAGTACTGGATGATCTTCAATATGCAGGAGTAGCCACAGGGGCTTATAGAGATCTTGAGGGGCTTTGGCATCATGGATGCTTACAAGTGACAATGGAAAACTACCAATTGTCCTATGAACG